GGCCGACCACCGGCCTTGGCCATCTTATTTCGGATATTATTGTACCGTTCCACTAGCAGCTTCTGTCGAGATTCTGCCGCTGTCATCCTTGAATTTAGGGGCCGCTTCTCGTCTCCATTACGTGTTCCTTCGGAGTCTTGCCCAATGCCATCGGATATGTTGTTGATCCGCTCCGCTATCTCTGCGAGTTGGCTTAACTGGTCCTGCATTTCGCCTTGTAACCGTTCGCAGCGGCGGAAAAGATCCGAGGCGGCTCGCTCGAGGGAACTGGTGTGGGCGCTTAGGATTCTGTGGGCCGCGGTAATGAGATCTAATGTTGATGGCGAGAGCCGGACGGGTTCCTTGAGAGTGTGCCTGTGGCCGTGTGGAACTACATCTTCGATAAAGGAGGCTAGCGGGGGCAGGGAATAGAATGCTGATGGGGGTTGGTACACTGAACGACGGGGAGCAACAAGTGATGGCTGGTGGGTGACGTCGGCTTCGAAGGAAGCAAGTTCGCTTGTTAATGATAATGGGTCATAGGATGGTGAATCGAGAATGACGGCATAGATACGGGACGCGGAGTTTGTCAACAATAGATAACCTATATCGTAGTCGTGAAGAACTAGGGAGCTTGGGAGATGCTCCGGTTGCGACTGATTTGTGGTAGTAGTCACCGATTCGTGATCAGTTACTTGAACGATTTGTTCCCGTAGTGCCATCGATCCATCGCATAGAACCTTAACGCGGAATCCTGAACCGGCGGGGTCGGGTGACTGAAGTTCTGCTTCGAGTCTTTCGGCCCAAGACAACAGTGAGAAGAAAGTAACATTGTTCGCTGAGGTGAGGAAGAAGTTGTATCGAGAGTGGACATCCTCGGTGAATAGTGGCCAGGAGTTTGGAGTTTGGTGTTTCTCCCTAACCGTCTCTAAAGATTCTAGCAATAGCAGCTCAGATGGATAAGACACCGGAGTTGTAAAGCCCCCCTTATTTGTCTTGGGAAGCCATTGACCCTCAACGCCATCTAGCTCAAGACAAACATGAACTCTGCCAGTTGTCGTAGCAACGCATATTATAGTTGCTGATACACCCTCCCGAGGGCTCCCTTCGAGTGGATAGCCGTCTTCTCCTAACATCAAATCTTCGACATCGGCCTTGGCGGCGATAACCAAAATATCAGTGAGATCCAATTCATCCACTTCCTCTCCAAGGTCAAACTGAAATGGGCCCTGTAGTCTTGGTATTGCACTGGGATTCGCTGGGCGAGCACGAACTTCAGCCATTGAAGAAAGCCCAGTGTCTTCAGGAAGGGGTAGAGGCTCTTGATTATCAATTTCTGCAAGCCATTCATACTGTTGCTGGATAGCCATCTGGTCGTCGTCAAATTCAGAAGGATGATCACCCTGTACACTGGCCAATTTATGGATAATGGACGCCGTCAAAGACGGTATCGTAATTGAGGGGACCTGCCACTTTGACGGTAGCAGTGGACACAATGCATAGATATATCCAGGTCGCATTGCAACCCAGAGAGTCATTGGTGCCCATGCATCTTCATCCTCGTAGCCATGACCTCCAAAGCAAGCTGAAGCAACTTCCATATCGAAGAAATCGGCTGAAAATCCCTTGTTTTGCCCAAATCCAGATGGCGCAAAGTCCTCGTCCATTGATGTTCCATCTGCCAATTTTTTCAAATCAACGGCTACCGTTGGCCTATCAAATGACCAATGGTTATTCCTGTCAATCTCCCATACTCGCACTGCGGCATCTTGGGTGACCGTAATGAGACAGCCGCCTTGGTTATCGCATATCCCCAACGGATGCCACAGGGCAGTTATTACAGGGGCCTCGGGAATAACATGGGTCGTAGGGCCTAGTTGAAACGTCTTAAGCCGGAGCGGCGAGTGATCGGGGCCCGAGAGGTGGGAAGAATCTGGTAATATTGCGATGTGGACGGTATGCGGCGTGATAATGGCCAGGAAATTACCATTTGGAGAAGGGACAAGTTGTGTTATCTGACCGTATACTGGCACCGTGAGAACCTGAAGGAAATATTAGCTAGCGTCCTTTTCAATAATTCTCTTATCCATTGATTGGTTTTGTATTACTCTGTAGAAAGGCGCCTCCTCATCCGCAGCATGTCCCAGGCAGCTTTCTTCTTCCTGCGACGGGCTCCTCTCCGTTTCCCGTCCCCGCTCTGTCCCCTTTCTCTTTTGCCGCACTTCAGCTTGCCATTCATTCTCCAAAGTAGAAAGGTTAGACCACCGAATCTGGTTATCCACGACCGCGAAGACTTCCGTCCCCCTTCTCGTCAAAGTCCGCTTGGGTCCAAGATAACGCTGCTCGCGCGTGTCACTAGCATCTTTGCTTTTCGAAATGCGATTTGCTTGTGATGGGCGCTCTGACCTAGAACTTAAAAAGAACGTAGCTCCTGGTGATGGCCTAGACAGCCAGGGAGGAGAGTAGTCGATGACCTTCGGCATGGCTGGGGCAGACGAGGTAGGTTTCGGGGCGTGTTTTGACGGATCAACTGGTGCAGTTTGAAAGCGCCTCCACGAAGGTATATTTGTTTAGACAGTATGGAAGTTAGAGGGTTACTATAGGGCCCAGTAAACAGCCATTAGCATGGGGGACAAGGAGAAAATAGCGTCCCCCGGGTTCGTTTGTTGATATTAATATGTAGTTAAATATTTAAATACTTGATAAATTTTTGGCGTGGAGATTTTGGAAGCGCCAAGCCATGAGCTCCTCGCAGTCAAACCAGCTTGAACAACAACAACAAGATTCCGGCAAATCACTTCGATTCCTACAGCAACTACATAAATACAGCTCCTCTGACACGATGCGACCTACAATTGAAAGGTTGGATAAGCCAAGCGCATATTATCTGTCGAAGGTATGTCATATCCTCTTTCATCTCTGTGTATTATTTGCCCTAGGTTGGATTGGATTTGCTGAAAACAAAATCTCCTCGCTCATAACAGAATAAGCGGAGGAAGTTCGGTGACAGAGATGGCCCTCAAGAAGACCCCGTTGACCCTTTGAAGGATGCCACTACACTCTATGTCGGGAATCTGTACGTCTACACATCAACTCGTTGATCGCGTTTTGGTTTGACAGTCAGTCGATTGACATAAATGGCCCTGATGCAGTTCATTCTATACGACGGAGGAGCAGATACACGAACTCTTCGCCAAGTATGTAAAGAATACAGTTTTCGGGGTCGATGAGATCGTTCGCATTGCATTGGAAGAGTGTCATTAACAATCCTCAGATGCGGAGAGATCAAACGACTAGTCATGGGCCTCGATCGGTTTGCGAAAACACCTTGCGGCTTCTGCTTTGTTGAATACTATACCCATCAAGACGCGCTCGACTGTATGAAATATATTGGAGGAACAAAGCTGGATGAGCGCATCATTCGGACGGATCTAGACCCGGGATTCCAGGAGGGTCGGCAATACGGGTACGTCGGGTACAAAAGAAGCCTTTGGAATTGCTATTCGGCTAACTAGATTTTTACAGACGGGGTAAATCTGGTGGCCAGGTTCGGGATGAATACAGAGATGAATATGATCCAGGCCGCGGTGGTTACGGCCGGGCGATCGCTGATGAGCGAAGGAAGGAGGAGGAAGAGTATGGGAAAGGCAGGTAAGATAATTTTTGAGCTGGGCAGGATCGGGGCGCAAGGGAGGCGTTATTGTTTCAAGTTAATGAAGTTATAATTCTACATACACAATGGGAAAAGAGATCTATCTATCAAATATTCAAGCTGGCCCATGGAAGGGTAAAGAACCTTAACACAGGGGATACCTTGTTCGATGTTGGATTCGCCATTGCCGCAGTGCAAATGTTGTCATTGCTAGGAGGCCCGCGATTTCGACACCGCTTGCTCGACCTGCTGCAACCACCAGGCATGAATCCTGGGGTCATCCGTCAACTCGGGATGGAAGCTCGTGCCAAAAACATTGCCCTGTTTCACGGCCACAATATCTCCTGAATCCGTATCCGCATGGATATCTGCGCCCGTTTGAGCAAGCCTGGCTGCCCTGCCCGGTAGTTTTGCGAGCACATCGACATGATCACTCATTGCCTTCCGCGCCGCAGGATCCTTTGGATGCCGTGATGGTGCCACTACTGTTCCTTCTCTCTTTTGTTCTTCAACCTGTATATCATCTACAAAAGGGAGTAGCTTCTCGACCACAGGAGCTCGGATAAATACACCCATGAAGGTTGCCGATTGATCGGAGCTCTCGCCGCCCTGGCGCACTTCGGACAAGAAGGGCAACTTCAATGGCGCCTGGAAGCTCTCAGTCTGCCTGCCGAAATGGTTCCTATTTACGCGCACATCAAGGCCACCAATGAGCTCCTGGCCTCCCTCCTTTGTCCGATTTGCCGACTCGGCGAGTAAGATTAGACCGGCGCATGTTCCCCAGGTTGGTCGACGGCGAAGTCTGGTTGAAAACGGAATCCAATTGTCAGTCGCGGTGACATTGAAGAACGGGCCGCTTCGTGCAGCAGATGGACTAAGCTCACTTAACAAAATCTCTTAGTGGCTCGAGTAATTGCGACCTAGCGGCAACCAGGGAGATAGCTGTGCTTTCTCCGCCGGGAATAATCAAGGCGTCGCATATTTCGAGTTCCGCCGGCGTGCGAACTTCAATGAAATTCCATTTTTGGGTTTCGTTGGGCGACAGGCTTGCTGCAGCTTTACGTAGAAGCTTTAAATGTTCGTAGAAAGCGCCTTGGAGGGCCAGAACTCCCACAGTAATCGCCATCGCATGAGTGAGTGAGGTTGAGTCAACATTCTCGAATTCTAACTCTCACCTCTCGCGCAATATGAACATATGACTACGGGTATGGTATTGTATTTTTGTAATGTATTGTATCGGGTGAATTTTGCGAATCGGAAAGGATCACGTGCATCGTCAGGTGGAGTCAGATCTGATTAGATAAGTCGATATATAAATCTCCAGCTACAAATCTTTCTATCAGTTTTGATTATACCCATACATGGAATACCTTTGTCTGTTTCCTTTTGTTTCTTATAATAATACTGTGATAATTACTTTTTTGCTACCCGTATTTGAAATGCGGTTTTGATATGCATTGATGCATTTGCTGCTTGAACTTGCGGGGTGGTTAAAGTATCTGTAATATTTACAAGATATCCATTTATAAACATACATATAGGATTCTATATAGATATATATATATCTATATAACCAGTTTCTCTCCACGGGCATGGCTTCACTGCCATCTCCATCTCCTTCTTCTCCCTCAACCCTAACAAGATGGTACATTGACACTAGGCCTCTAACGGCCACAACTCAGTCCCTCCCCCTCCTCTCCACCCTCCAAGAATCCGACCAAACCACCGTCAAAGCCTTCTACCACCTCTCAGACCGCCACATGTCTCTTGCCTCCTATCTGTTAAAATATCTCTTCATCCACCGCACATGTCAAGTTCCCTGGGCCCAAATCGTCATCAGCCGCACCCCGGCCCCGCATAAAAGGCCCTGCTATATCCCCCCTCAACGGCATCAGCCACCTCTATCTGGGGATGATAACCGGGACGCCAATCCCTTGACTCCCATCCCAAACATTGAATTTAACGTCAGCCACCAAGCCTCCCTCGTCGCATTGGCAGGATGCATTAGCCCCGCACCACGAAGCGTGGAAGAGGCATTCTCCCCGCAACCCCGCGTTACCCTGAGCTCAAACACAGATGCCTATAACAACCACCCCTCCCCCTCCCCTCAAATCGGCATAGACATAACCTGCATGGATGACCCAGCCCGCCGCAACCGCGGGCCCCCAAAGACAGAAGCCGAACTACACGCCTTCATCGACATCTTCGCTGAGGTCTTCTCAACAAACGAACTAGATGCAATGAAGGCATATCCCAGAATCAACAACAACAACAGCAGCAGCAGCAGCAGCAGCGCGGCTATGACCTTACAAGAGTCGATAATCTACCGTCTCCGCCTCTTCTACACCTACTGGGCCCTCAAGGAAGCGTATATAAAAATGACCGGCGAAGCGCTCCTAGCGCCCTGGCTACGTGATCTGGAATTCAGAGATGTTGTCGTTCCGACGCCACCAGCTTCATCTGCATCCTTGCAGTGGGGAGTACCGGAGACAGGGATCAGAGCTACGTTGTATGGCCGGGATGTGCCAGAAGTGCGTTTGGAGGTGGTGGCGTTTGGAAATGACTACATCTTTGCGACAGCGGGGAGAGGGGGTGGGTTTGGGAACTCTGCAGGCGAAGAGGAGATGAAGGCCCGGTGGGATGAGTTTCGCTTGATGGATATCGAGAGGGATGTGGCGCTGTGTGCGAGAGGGCAATGTGAATGTTTGGATTAAGAGTGATTTAGCGGGGGGCGGTTGAGGGTTCTGCATCTGTGTCAGTTTTGTGTGTGTTGAGAGGATTCCACGGGATGATTTTATTTATTACGACAATATATATATTTGACTCTAATGGCTGAAGGGTTATATATAGAATACTCTGGACAACATATTATCATCGCCCCTACATGTATGTTCTACTAACCGTCACGCGCAATCAATCTCATCCATCACTTTTCTCCAAAGAAATTCAAACTAGGAAAAAAAAAAAAAAAAAAAAAATCTATACATTTTGCATTCATCTGTCTATCCGTCTAGTATCATGATGATATTAATCACAGTATAGTGTCTCCATACAGAAAGCAGCATAGACTGCTTGCTGTCTTAGAAAGCCTCACTGCTTCTAGACATGGAAATGGAAGGGAGAAGGAATAAAGAAATCGCGAATAAATACGAAATATAACAAAAAGAGGGGGGTCGATGAAAGGGGGGGAAAAACTCCGGAACGCGCTGGAAATGCATAATACATGATATATACGGAGGCTGTAAGAAAGGCCAGGCGCATCAAGACGGAAAAGAGAGGGGTGACGGACGGAGGCAAGTAGAGTAGGATGCCTGGCCATAAGTTTAAGTGTGAAGCTTTTTTTCCCCTTTCTTTTCTTTCTCCCTGTTGTTTTCTTTTCAACCTTGTGGCGAAATACCGTAGAAGTGGATAGCGGAGGATAGAAACGGATACGGAAATAAGAAAGAATCGAAATAGGTATCAAGAAAGGAAAAGAAAGAAACGGAAAAGAAAAGAAACCCCCATTCCTCTATGGCCTCCTGCTCCGCAGTCGGAAAAGCGCTTCTAGTTGCCATCCCATCTTGGCCTCCAGGTCAGTCGAAACAGTTGTTTTAAGATAATCCCTTGTGCTAGGATATATCTCTTATTGTGTAGAGGCGGCGGATGGGTGTGGTGCGTCAGCATGCGTGAATAAGGCTTTCGTAAATCCCGCCATCCGTAGTGGATCTCCTTCCCCATTGAATGTATATACAACAGTTGCCGTTTGCCGTTTTCCTTCGTGGAGTAGATAGAAATTAGGAAATAAAAGAATCGAAAGAGGAATGCCGCCCGTTTTATCGTGCGGTATGCCGGTATTACAGAGGAGGGGCATGTAAGGTCGATAAATGTGAGCGAGGAGGGCTTTGTATTTCGTTTCCACTGGCGGGCTATTTAGTCCATGTGATTTATAGAGCGTACCAAGGCGAAGGGAACAAGAGTAGGTGGTGACATATCCGTTTCTCTCTAGCTAGTTTCCTTTTTTTTCAAATTATTTGATTGGTGTTGACTTTAATTAAGTCTCAATGGCGGTGGAGGTGGACGAGGCATGGGGAGGCATTGCAACACGGTTCGTAGGGATGGAGGAAGCGGAGGCTTCTTCCGTATACCGGGCTTCTCTCGTCTTGTACATATCCTGGATAACTTCCAGCATTGATTCCCGTGTCTTCGTGGTCAGCTCGTCGACATCGCTGGTTTGTAGGTTCTTGGTGCTAAGCGGTGGGAGGACTAACGTTGATGGGAGAAAGTGCACGTTAGCCAGATCGTTCCATTGACAATTGACGGGATTCGATTTCAGATATGAATGCTTTGCTTCCCCAACCGCAGGATTAAGGGGAACGAATGAGAAACAAAGAAGTAGACTATACTGTACACACCTTTAACCCGAATCATCCCAGCCTCAAAGCGCAACTTCTTCACATCCAATAAATGCGCATAATTCTCCGCCACAACAGGGACAATATCCACGCCCGCCTTAACCGCCAAATGGAAAGCCCCCTTCTTAAACGGCAGCAACGCCGGCTCCGCAGAGTAACTCCTCGTCCCCTCGGGGAAGATAAGCACACTCTGCCTCTCCCTCTGCATCTGCTCCGCCGCCCCATCAAACGCCTTCACGGCCGTCTCCCGGTTCGCCCGGTCAATAAACACCGTGCCGGACAGGGTCATGAACCATCCCAACACCGGCACGCGCGACAGCGACTTCTTCGCCGTCACGCTACAGTACGGCGGGAAGATCGTGCCGAGCAACAACACATCCAGCTCCGTCTGGTGGTTCGTGATGAACACGGCGGGCCGCGTGCTGAGGTATTCCGAGCCCGAGACGATCTCAAAGTAGGTCCCCGTGCACAGGCGCATGGCCCATTTGAAGCTGCGTGCGACGGTCCACTGCGACAGGCCGCCGTAGCCGACTAGACGCAGGACGATGGAGGCGACGAGGCCGTAGGAGGCGCAGGCGATGAGGCAGGCATAGGCGGCCAGGCAGCGGGCGAAGAAGCCGGCGCGGGGGATTTTGAGGGAGAGGCCGAAGAGGGAGACGGTGATGGCGAAGTAGGAGGTTAGGCCGGTGACGAGGTAGGAGAGGATGGCCATGGTTTGGTTTGGCTTGTGTCGGCAGGTTTTCCTATTCTTTATTTTTATTTTTATTTTTTATTTTTTTGTGTTTTTTTCCCCCCAATTGACCTCTCCCTTTTCACTTTATTTTTTCCAGAGGGAAAGAAAGGGAGGAGTGGAGGTTAGGTGCGAACGGTGCCGAGGGCAAAGTGGGTTGGAGGAAGGATATTAAATATAATTTTTTAGGTTTTTGGTGGGGAGAAATATAACTTTTTTTGTTTTCATTTTGGCGGCTTCGGGAGCATGTTGGGGTCAGCAAATATTATTCAACGAGCACAGTTGGGGGTAATTTGGGTAACGTTATTTCTCGCAAAGCCGGGGAAGGGAATAAATAATAATAAATACTTGAGAAGACCTAAGGAGTGACTATAAATATACCCAAGACTACAGGATAGATAGGAGGAATACAAATATAATAAAATAAAAATAAAGAGTATTAATAATAATAAATTGGGAATAAGAATGAAGGCCGTCTCCATGGGGTAATAATCATTAATTTGTATTCACAGGGCAGCTCTCGCAGGTTACAGAAGACATACACTACTCTCAAAAGCCATCCTTGGATAGTTTTGGAGATTGGAATCCTTCATATTTCCCCGTCCAGTTTCCATCCAACAAATCACTTCCCAATCACTACCCTCTCCGTTCGAGCCTCCCCTCTCGAGAGAAAGTGTACATCTGCGCAGGTTTGTATCCAGAATTAAAACGAAAGAAGTTGCGGGGAAAGGAGTAAGGAGGTAAAAGAGAAAAAGGAAGAAAGAAAAAAGCAAAGATCAAATCAAATATCCAGAAAACTCCTGTTTCTCATGCTCATGTTCATGCTCATGCACGTCGTGCCAGTTTTGGAGAAAATACCAAACACCAAACCGAATGCCCAGCACAGGTAAAAGAAAGGAAAAGAAAAGAAAAGAAAAAGAAAAGAAAAGAAGAAGAAGAACAACCTCCAGACATCAGACATCTCGCTAGGCTAAGCTGAAAAGACAAGACAGTGTGGGAGTGGAGGCACAAGTGAGGGTGGTGGATGGCTGGGGACAGTAATTGGGGGGGAGTCCACAGGCTGCGATGAGAGGCAGATATCTATCTGCAGGGGTAAAAAAAGCAGGAAATATAAAGATACAATCAAGTGTGGGCCGCGATTTTAAATCATCCCATATCCTCATCATCGTCTTCGGGATTCTCTAACGATTCCATTGCATCTTTGATAAACTGAGCAGCCTGTAATTGTTGAAATTTTAGGTCAGCGCATACCCCTAGGTGAGTGAGACGGACAGAGCTTAAAAAATAAATTCGGCCCGGGGCGGGGAAAGAGAAGAAGAGAAGAATCATACCTTTGGATCCAGATTCAAGGCCGTCGTGAAATGCTTGATCGCATTGGCCTTGTCATGGAGCATTTTGTACAACTTCCCCAATAGATAATGTACATTCGGTTCATCGGGAGCAAGATCTTTCAGAATCTTAAGTTCCACGTGTGCAAGTTTAAGCTCATTAAGCTTCATTAAAACTCGCGCCTTGCGCAATCGAGCGAGAACTGACTGGGGCGCAAGCGAGCAGGCTCGTCCGTACTGAAGCAGCGCAGCCTTTTGATTACCCATCCTCTCTAGCACCAAACCGATACACCATACCAACACCGCATTGGTTGGATTGATATTGGACGCTGTCCGGTAGTGCTGTTCCGCAAATTTGTATTTGCCCATTTTCTCATATACTTTGCCAATACCGTACCACGCGTTATAATGTCTGCTGTCAGCACTGATTCCGTGCCGGTAAGCGTCCAACGCCTTATCGTACTCTTCATTCGAGACGTATTCATGACCCTGCAAGGTAAAGGCGTAGGCGAAGGTATGATCCAGTTGTGTTGCGCGTTTGAAGCACTTGAGCGCTTGGTCATGGTCAGATTGTAGGGAGAAGGAGTTGCCGATGGCACACCAGGCCTGTGGTGAGAGCCGATCTACCTCCATCAGCTCGTGCGCCAAATACGCCAATTCAACTTCATTCTTCAAATGCCATAGAACTGTCGAGTAGACCTCCATATCCTCCAACCTTGACGGTGCGATAGTTTTGACTCGAATGAAATATTTCTCAGCTTCTGCATATAATCCTTGCTCGTAATTCGCACGGCCGATCTGTGACAGAACCCAGGGTGTTTCCCGCTGACTCTGCGGGAGCGTGTTGAATATCTGGATTGCCTCTTGGCATTTATATGCCATAAGCGCAGAGTATCCCTCTGCAAGTTTTGCAAAAAGATCTAAAACCCAGTTAAGAGCCTCGATGTCCTTGGATTTGTCCGGGACGCTACTCTTCGATTGTCCGCCAACCACCCCATTCGGAACAGCAGAAACGGGAACTCCCCGACTCTCTTTATTATCAATGTCCATTCCATCTGGAGCTGCCTTTCGATTGCCGCTAACCACTCGGCCCATCGTCGATCCAGAAACGGTTCGAGGTTTTGCACCAGTCGACTTCACCTTTTTAATCTCCCGACCATCCCGCGCTCCGAACGCTGCTGAAGAGGTTGAAAATTTGCTGCTGGTCGGGCGGATCTGGTTAAACAGCCGCACACTACGTCGCTGCGGAGCTCCTGGCTCAGGGGGTTGTGAGCTTGTGTGGTGGGCAACCTGACCGGATACCGTTCTTTTCCGTTCGCCTCCAAATGACGGTGCAGTAGTTTCCCTAGAGACAATGGCCGCGTGCGCATCCTCTGGGTCCACCCTGGTCTTACTTCTGGGTTTGAGTGTCGTCTTCATTTTAGGTGGCGGATCAGCACCATAATCCAGACCCAGAGTCTGGATGGTTTTGTTCTTCCTGGCAGGTGCAAGAGGGGGCTCCCAAGTCGGATCACCAGAAGCTACACCGCTGCCGCCGACTCGAAGTTCGTCCGAATCGCTTTGTGCAACTGGAGTTTCCAAGCCTTCGGGAGCTGGGGCATTGACCGAAACAACACTCACGTTGCTGCCATTTAACTTTTCCCAAAGCGCAGAAGAACCATTTGCGGCGTCAACACGAGCGCTAAACGAGGTGAACGGATCTAGGTTATGGTTGATATTTGGCTGAGCCTGCAAAGGGCCGTTTGTCTGTGCGACTTTCTCGAATGTTGCAGAGCTTTCGAGTACTTGTGAGGACGGAAGCATTGCCAACATCTCTGGAGACATCTTATAGATGTTGGGGACTCGTATATTGGCACCTTTCCCATTGGATATCCTGTTAGCGCTTACTCTCAACGCGAAACCATTCGGAAATTCTTGTGATTGATTCTGTTTACCTGTTTGGCAGAGACCGAGAAATGCATCCCAAAGGAAAGGATTTAATTTTAGAGCTTCAACATAGCAATCGACAGCTTTATGCAGATCCTGATGGGCGTGCCACAACTTTCCCTGTAAGCAAAGACATGCTGCAGCATCGGGGAGGTGCTGTCGGCGGGTTTCGCTATGTTTATCTATGTCGAAAAGGACGTTAGCGCTCCTCATTGTAAATCTTTCTGCATAGATCCTCATATGTGAAAAATCCCAACAAATAAACAAGGGTGTCCAAGCTGCTTACTCCAGGTATTCTTAGAAGCCCACAGATTCCTGCTCCTTTCCAACGCAGTGATCCCTTCAATGTATTTGCCCAGGTCCAGACATGCCTGAGCATAGACGTACGAACAGCCAGCATGTGTCCCTCTGGATCCAGAATTCCTGCTGTATTCCCAAGCAGCTTTAGGCTGGCCGCTCTGGAGGTGGCAGAGCGCGAGGAGATAGGAAGCCTCAGACGACCGGGGTTCGAAAGCGTGGAGACGGCCGGCAAGGAAGAGGGCGTTGCGGATGAGGTTGTTATCGAGGTGATAGTATATTAGTTGCCTTAGCTGGCTAGAGATGTGGGGTGCAGAAGGGGCCATGGCACAGGATAAGGTCTTTTTTATATTATTATTTTGTTGTTTATAATGTATTGGTTTTCGTCGAGATTTGAGGTGGGTTGCTAGGGCGGGACAAGCCAGGTGGGTTGCCGGACGGCGTATTCTATCTTAGGAGTGAGTAACGCATGCAGGTATGAAGGAGGAAGAGTTTGAATGTTATGTAGCTATCGAAATGGATGACAGTAATGTATGATGCAGGCGTGTGTGATGTGTGTGAAGGGGGTGGTGGCGGAGGATTTTGGCACTGGGATGATTGGCCGAAGAGGAATCTGGGGGAAGGAAGCCGCGAGAGAAGAGACAACCGCGCGCTTTTTAGAGAATGATTAATGATTATTTAAATAGTTGATGGACGACTCATGGACGACTCAGCGCGGGAGGAAGACAGTGCATCTTCCACCGCAGATTCAACTGAGAAAGATCCTGAGGAGGTGTCGAGGAGGACTGCGGCGGCGAGGATGAACAGTTCAGTTCATGGGATATTTATTTATTTATTTACCCAGCAGCACCACACGAGACAACAACACCCAGCAGCAGTTTCTATGAGCAAGTGGCCTAGGCTTTCATATTGCTGTTGGGTCAACAGAAGCCCAAGGCGATCGTACAGATATGATAGGAATTGTCCAGAGCGAGGTGCGAGGTGCGGGCCGTGGGTTAACGGGCACGAGATATAGACAGATTTAAATATTTAACTAATAACTAATTGGGGGGGAATATGTTTTGGTGGTTTTCGTCGCTGGAACGACTGCTTGTGGCTGCTAATATTAGGTAAATAGGTATTTTAGGTAGGGTAGGGGAGGTACCTGTGGTTGGGCGGTTAAATGGCTGGGCTGCCAGGTACCTACCTATTAATACCCTAACTACCATCAGTCCATACGCCATACGTACGCCTTGGAATTTGTATAAATAATATTTGCCTGCATAATTTATATTAAATGTTGTTATTTTTTTACTTTTTATTTCGTAATTATTTTAAACCAACATATTTAGTTACTCTAGACAGACTGCGTGATTTCCATAGTATTTAATTACTTATTTATTTAACCTCTGTTCAGGTCTTGGCCCATATCAATATTATTTAATTATAATACTTTCTTCTTCTACAACAGCGTACGTTTAACCACCGCATCTCTCTAAAAAACATACTTCTACAACCCCCCCTCCACACTCCCCTATGAATACAGTCCTATTGCGGGACAGTAAGACGAATAAGACGAAATACAAATGGCACAAGTAACACCCCCCCCCCCCCCCTCCCCCAAAAGTCTCCCAATTTACCACTAACCCTCCATCCAAGAAAGCCGCAAAAACCCTCGCAGCCCGCAACACCCGCCTTCTCAATCGCACCCACCTAACCTCCCTATCCCTCCACCTCCTCTACCTCCTCCTACACTTCCTCTTCAACCGTCCCCGCGCCTTAACTCCCTACCTCATCTTCACAACCCCAACCCTCGCCATAGAATTCTACCTCGAACGCCTTGGCCGCCCGCGCTATAGCAGAGACGGCGGCAGCGGGAACACCCTCCGCTCTGCCGGCGAAGACCTAGACGCACCGGGCCTAACGGAGTACTTTTGGGATGTGATTTATTGGACGTGGGGGTGTATGGGGGCTGTGTGTATCTTTGGGGACCGCGCGTGGTGGCTGTGGGTCGTTGTGCCTTTGTATTCAGCTTGGTTGGTGTATTCGACGTTTATGGGGTTTAAGGGGGGTATGGCGGGTATGGCGGGTATGGCGGGGCTGGGAGACGTGGATGGTGGGGAGGGTGTGGAGAGCAAGAGACAGAAGAAGATGGAGAAGAGGGGAGCGGCGCAAAGGGTCAGATACCGGTGATGGATTGGATGGGCGGTTTTTGGGGGGCTTACGACGTGTACATGGACAGCTAATACGGCTACTGATCGAGCAGTTTGGATATTTTTTCTTGCCTTTGCGTTTACATTTTTGCAAAAACCAAAAGGGCGGTCGATGTGATCTTGTATATTTTAGTTATGTACATGTATATATTGCTTGGTGTTTGTATGCCGAGAAAAAAGGTGAGTTGTGCCATTTTACAAAATAGACGCTGCCAGGCGCTGGGAAATAGAGAACATGAGAAAATAATACTTAATGAAACTTGTCCAAATCACAGGAAAAGAAGGGAAAGAAAGGAAAGAATGTCACGTCATGTAGCTAAAGGGTCGACTGGTAACGAATATATATATGGCCGATCAAAGTGCACGGGACATAAATGCAACAACATATAGGTACGAGCTGTGGCTTATATCAAACCAGCGAAAGTAAGTGGGTCTGTAAGATATATTATTATGTGTACTAGGGGAAGTGATGTATGGGTATGGTATGGGGTATAAAAACATGGATGTCCGTTTTGGTCGTGCCGCTTCTTCTTTGTTAAAAAAAAACTAAAAATAAAGAAATAAATGCTAGGAAGAAACGTACCACTTCCGTTGGAATGGTGGTAGCGCATTCTTCTCTTCTTTTCTCTTCTTTCTTTCTTCCTTTCTTTCTTTCCCCTCCTGTTTGTTTTTTTAGTAACATGTCGATTGCCATTTTTAGTAATAGGCCATTCTACAGCTCGTCCCTGCCTGTTTCGTGAGCAGCAGTATGTTTTGGAGAGCTAGCAATAGTACTCGAAGAAGATGACACCAACTCAAGAGACGCCGCAGCAGCGGAGAGTGCATCGTGGAACCTCGAGGAGGCATCCTCAATAATCCTAGTCGCGGAGGCGGGAGCGATGGCGGTCCCCACCGAGCTAACGGAATACAGAACTGCATCTAGGCTAGCAGATGCCAGAGACGAGACGACGCTAAATTCGGAACTGGCCTCCTCGAGAATTGGCTTGCTGGGCTTGTCGCTGGTTGGACTACTGATACTCGTTTCTTCAGTAGGTTGTACATGACTAGACGCAGAGTTGATGAAGATAGAATACTCGTCATGAGCGAGGCCAATGGCTTCGTAATAACGGCGACGCGCATCGAGGATTATCTGCTGGCCGGGAAAGGCTGCTTCGTCAGTGGCGCTTGCGACTGCGCTTGCGAGGCTCTGAGAGGCATGTTCGAGATTCTCTTGGAGCTTTGCGGAAGCACTTGAGAGCGTGTCATCGTTTACTGTTGCAGTGGGAGAAGGGCTGAGGGGAATTCCTGCGTATTCTGAAGCTGCTTTGAGACGAGATTCAAGTTTTTCACTCGCGTGTTGGAGAGACCCGGAGTAAGCGGATTCGATGGAGGCGACAATTCTTTCATCAGGAATTCCAGAATCCTGAGCTCTGGCGGCCGAATGTGAAATGTCATACAGTTTCTTAGCCTGAGAAAGAGAGTCTGAAAAAATGGAACTGGCTTCGGGGGGCGGCATGGGAATGGAGTATTGCTCTGAGAGGACTGTCTCCGACGGAGCCACGTTCGATGATACAGAGGGCTGCTGGGATGAAGACGGCGTAGCATCAAAAGTCTGCTCAGGAGTATTAGCAGGGACATGATTTTCATGTTCTATGAATTCAGCGGCAGCCCCACCCCAAACCTTAGGCCCAGTGGTAGTAGCCTCATCATCCAAAACGGGTTCTGATTCTGGTTCGGGCTCTGGTTCGGGCTCGGGCTCAGGCTCAGACTCAGGTTCGGGTGTTGGTATACTGCTTGTAAATACAACAGATAGTGGAACGTCTTGTTCGTCCCCAGAAGCGCTGTTTCCGGGGGTTCCCACATCACTGGCTTCGGGCATATCGTCGTGGCTAATAGCGGGATCCGTGTCGAATGAAGGATCTTCATCAAGCGGGTTCGCCTCGTTGGACTTATCCTCGGGTGGTGATGTCGAGTGATATTCAGCATCTGGTTCTGGTTCTGGTTCACCCAGACCCATTGCTGCTATCTTGCTGGCACGAGCTTCAGCCGCATCGCTCGTCTTCGTCTCAAAATCATCGCTGATATCCTCCGCTTCGATTTTCCACTTCCCAACCTCCTTTAACCTAGTAAGCTCCTTCGCCGTTTTTTCCGCAATCCTCATTCCTTTGTTAATAATATCAATTCCGAGGGCCTTTGCTTCTTCATAAGCACCATGTTGCATACCAACTTCCCTAACTTCCTCGCGCCAGCTGTGAAGTTGTTTCTTCAGCGCATTATATTTCGCCCAATCCTTGTATGTCACGCCATCCATCCACGCCCATTTCATCCCAATATTCTGAAGGCTCAGGTCACGGATCTGGTCAAGGACCTCGATGGTAGCGTCAGAGGCGGAGGTTACCCTCACATGAAGGTCACTATTAAAGTCCGCGAACCACTCTCGAAGCTTCTGTGCAGCTTCCCGGATAGCATAAGCCGATGTCCTAACAGCTTGTGCCAATTGATCCCTCGGCGGCTTCGCGATCTTCGAAGGTGGATTCGTCAGGTAAATTACGCACTATATCGATGATTTTGGTTCTAAGAGATTCGAGCTCTCGATGTCCCACCGATTCCAACTCGGATACGAGCGCTTCGCCTGATCCCTGCGTGTCATTTACGTAGCTCTCTACAATCTTAGCGACCCGTTCACTGAGGTCTTCGGCTCCTTTATCAGCCGCAGTAGCGAACTTTTCTTGCCATGTTTTCAAATCCGAGGCTATTGTTTCGCGCGCAAGGCTCGCCTTATCCACTGATTGCTCAGGGTCTGGCACAGATACCGAAGTCGAAGTCGCAGTGGTCGACGGACTGTAATCAGACGTCTTCGGTGATACTGTAGTTGCTAACGTTGAAACGGTGGGGGTTGAGCTAAATGGTTCGGATAAACTGCAGAGGCATTAGCTTAAATTAAAAGGGGGGGTAATTATAATTCAGGCCTCTTGGGAACAGCGGGAGTGCATCCAAGTTTGATGCGCGAGGATGGCAAGGGTAGTGGAGCTCACATTTCAGCTTCTTCACCAACAGCACCAAGCTTCCTGCCCTCGCGATAACTTGCGAGCTTCTCACCAATCCTAAGCAGCTGAGGCTCAACGTTTTCGCGGTAGAGTCTAGAAACTCCAGGCAGAAGCGCCTCGTTTATGAATGTCGCCAGATATGACCACGTCTTCTTACTGTACGGGTAGATCTTGTTCACCACACTATCGTATGTGTAGGAATACATGCTGACAATAACTGGCTTCGTTCGTCCGTAAACTGGTACAATATACGTTTGGCGCAGATAATCAACCTGGGAAACTGTTGTGCTATAATAGAAGGTTACTACTGAAGCAACGCGTGCATAATGCGGCTCAATTGACGATTGGTATGTACGGCTCAAGGAGCTTTGTAATGAATGGATATGAGGCGTAACGATTTCTCCCCACTTGTTCTGAAAATATGATGCTGCCTTCTCAATATGGGGCGCTCCATATGCGCGGTAATTTCGTTTTGTGAAATCAGTAGTAGGAGTGTATATCTTCTCGTTGAAATTGCGTGCATATGGGCGAATGGTGTCGACATATGTAGCTCCGTAAGCTTCATAATACCGAGTTACATGAGGCTCGAGATGTGACCGCGCAATCAGGTACGGCTTGCAAACCGTTGGAGAAGTGTTATCAAGTTCTGGTAGCGTCGATGGGCAGTAGAAGAATGGCGTAAGTAAAGCGTACCATATGACTAGCCTATTGAAAAAAGAAAAAGAAATCAGTATGATAGAGACCTAGAAGGAGAGGGAACTGGAGGGGCGGAGGGGCATCCGACGAAATAGCATACCGTAGGGCAACTGCAAGCGACCACCGTGCGAAGCTCGTAGGTCGTCTCCGATGTTCTTCTTTTCCTTCTGCTTGCTTTTGAATGGACAAACCATTAATCTGACCATTTTTCATATTCCCCACCACTGTTCCGTCCGCTGCCATCGCCATTCTTGTGGCGTCAGTTGACGCGCCGCTCTAGCTTTCTTTCTTTCCTTGCTTTTTTTATTTTTTTTATATTATCGCTGGTTCGTCGTCTCGCAGCGCTCTATCACCACACGTAAAGCAATGCGACTAGTGCTCATATATCTCATAAAGGGAAAAATTCACGGGCAACCAGGCTCGCAATAAAAGTGCGAGGAAGAACCAGCGCACGTCAAGGCAAGCAAAAGGAATTTATGGTTCGAGGTCTGACGGAGGTGAAGAGGTGGATCTTGGCATGGAGCTCTGCGGACCAGTTAACTTCAACCCACAGGAAATGAATGAATGAGCTTGGGGACGCGCAAAACCCACTTCTCAGGGAGTGCAGTTATTAGATATTATTAGGTGATAATAAGGATGTTTGATACTTGCATTCAGCGAGAGACGGCAGGGCAGGTAGGCCAGGTTTTATATGTCGTTCTCTTCGCTCCCTTGTAGCAGACGAGGTTTCACCATGGTGGAAGTTGGAAGTCACGGGGTGGCCAATCACATGCCAGTCAGTCTGTCGGAGGCAATATCTTGGCGGGTCGGTCTGGCGCGTTGATGCCCTGGCTGTGACGTAACTAACTTAACGTAATAACCCTGCGGAAAATGGTTGTTCCGCGGAGAATTGGCTGAGTAAGCATCATCCTGGCGACTTGGAAACTTTTAGAACGGCGAGAGAAAGACCGGGGTTTGGCTTCTTCCTGCTCCATGTCTACTCTCCCGAGTATATTACTTGCCTGGACACTCACCCACGCCGCATACCGTTTGATACTACCTTGAGAACTTAGAAGACTTGTGGTTTGTAAACCCTTAGTACTGCGGAGAAATCTCTTGTACTGTGCTGACTGACTATTCCCGCAGTTTTGTAGATATCTATCTTAATCGCGAAGGAGACAAACAACAAATCGATACCTACCTCCGGGATGCGGGCATGCTCCCAGCATTCACCATAGCATGGTCATCCTTCTAATCTCCCTGTAATTTCTTTTTCTCGACGTCAAGGAAGATGGATATCAACCGGATTGTGGCTGGCCGGGACCGGAGGGCTGGTCCTCTCCCGGATATCATGAACGACCCTGCCTTTGCCACAAACACTGCGACCAACAGACGAAGTGTAGACGAATCTGACACTTGTCGAATATGCCGCGGCGAAGGTACCGAGGAGGAGCAGCTCTTTTATCCGTGCAAATGTAGCGGGAGCATCAAATTTGTTCACCAAGAGTGTTTGATGCAATGGCTTTCCCATTCACAAAAGAAATATTGTGAGCTGTGCAAGACGCCTTTCAGATTTACAAAGCTTTATGACCCGAATATGCCCAAGGAGCTGCCGGCTCCGGTTTTCCTGAAGGAGCTCATTCTTCATGGCGGTCGGTCACTACTTACATGGCTACGCTTCGTCCTGGTTGCTTTCGTATGGTTAGGATGGCTCCCGTGGTCCATGAGAGCTATCTGGAGAGGTCTGTTTTGGTTAGCTGATGGGCGGTGGCCGAACCCTGAATTCTACCACGGCTCGAGTGTGCCCCCAGCAAGCCAGGCGCTTGATCAGCTTGCAGCCCACGGAACTTCTCCTGCCAACACCCTCGCATCCAACAATCTTTCTACGGGGGTGGGACCTCAAAACATGACGCCTACACTTCCGTCTTTCGTATCGCCATTTTCCGCCATGCTCAATTTCTCAGCCGGTGAGCCCTTGATATACACCATTATGAAGAAGCTCCTGCGGGACACCTGGGCGACAACGACTTCATCTGTACTCGAGACGGCTGGTTCAAACTCAACGAATGCAACTAGCGTCTCTATTCGACGGTTTCGCCAACCATCCTGGCTATCAGATGTTTCCTTTTTAAACAAGTTGACTCCCTACTCCACCCTGAATAATATTTTAATAGATACGTTCGAGGGGCAGATAATCACTCTTTCGGTGGTTATTGCTTTTATTCTTGTGTTCTTAATTAGGGAATGGGTAGTACAGCAGCAACCTGCGATTAATCTTGCTGAGGCAGATCGAGAAGCAGCTGCGCAGCTGATTGCTGATGCGGCGGCGAATCAACCTGTTGAAGAGCCGCGACCGCGCCCTGTTCAACATGTCCATCATCAGGAGGCCCACGAGGAGCCAAGCCAAGAAGACAACCAGGAACCGAACCAAGAAATACTTCAGGAAGAAAATCGAGAAGATGTATCTGAACACGAGAATAGCGGATTACCCGATTGGGATCACACGCAATCGAACGATATGTCTCTACAACCGGACCAGCCACAACAGCCTGGTGGCCCCAGCCACGACTTTGAATCACTTAGCCAACATTGGCCTTCACAAGTTGAAAACAACTCGAACCAAGGCCCCATCGATGAAGTAGGCCATATTCTCGAGCACGCTCCGACGACCAACCAGGCCAACGACGAAATAGTGGCTAATTCTGAAAATCACGGCAATGCCCAATGGCCTGGCCTGGATGTGTTCAAAGACCTGTGGACTCGTGGTGCAAGAAATCCGACGGAAATACTAAGAATAATTGAGGAAGAAGGCCGCCAAGAAGAACTGGGTTGGGTTATAGCGGCAATGCAAAAATTGGAGCGTGTGGGCGAACAGGGATTCAAATTTGGTGAAATATCCGAGGGAACCTTGCAAGAAAACGACGAAGGAAGTACCTCAGCCCTTCACGCTCCATTTGATGCGCCGATGCATCATGACGATGGCCCTCACCCATCGTCTTCAGCCAGTATTTACCCCCCTAGAGAAGAACGACGGGAAATCCAGGATACACCAGAGCGAACAATCAACCTGAGATTTGGAGATCCAACTGCAAACCCTAGTGTCCCCACGAACTCCTCATCACCTGTCTTCCCAAATCTCGAGCCTTTCACCCCATCTGCGCGCTTTGGTTCCGAAGTAGCTGGCCCGTCCGGTTCTAGGCATTCGGTGGACTTATCGTCCCATACTCTTCGGCATAATAGTTCAGATCACTCCTCTCCACCACAGGAAGCGGTACAGCTGCCCGACAGTCAAGCCTCCCTGTACCCTCCAACTCCCGCTGAACAACATGCTCCCGAGGTTAACATTCACGAACAAGGATCCATGCCAGCTACAGAAGCTGAACCTTCGGAAGCCCCACTCCAGCGACCACACCCTATGGAAGCAGTAGGCCCTCGTCCTGAGAGTTTGGTTGATCGGGCCTCGAATTGGTTTTGGGGTGGGGTGCCTCTTCCGCGGCGGGGAGAGGGTGAAGGCCGAGAAGAAGACCGTGATGCTGAACCTGCCATAGAAAATCCCGCACAAGAAGCTCCATTCGAACCCGCGCCGAATGGGCATCATCATTTTCATGACCCAATGGACGAACCAGGGTTTGCTGACGGCCCGATTGCTCCAGTAGACCCCGACGATATTGAACCTGTGGACGATGCTGATGATCTGGAAGGTCTCTTAGAGCTTATCGGCATGCAAGGCCCTATCGTCGGTCTGCTGCAAAACGGTGTATTCAGCGCATTGATCGTATCCTTTACCGTTGCAGTCGGCATTTGGCTCCCATACCTGTGGGGCAAAATCGCACTGGTTCTTTTCACCAATCCGATACGGCTATTAATTGGAGTCCCAATTGCACTTGTATCTCTAGTTGTCGATATCACCGTTGATACACTTCTCGGGAGTGTAGGATATATTGTCTACCTAACGAACGTTCTATTCCGGTTCCTACTCGTCACGTTCGGACGATTCATCCCTTCTCTCACAAAATTTTCCGGAAGCAATGCTCTTACAGCTGCGTCGCTATCTATGATCGACCAAAGCAGCCAGCGCCTTAAAGGTGTTCTAGGCGCATTCTTTACCTTCCACGAATCCGACTTACCCATGTTCTCCGTGTTATCTCATCAAGCCTTGAGGATCCACCAAGAGCGGATCGCAACTTTTTTCAGCTTTATCCTCAGCCTTGGGAAGACTATTGTTTACGACACTCCATTGCTTCTCCTCCAGCAGGGGGCCTCGCAACGACTCATCGCCTCTATACTATCTCTCGAACCTATGAACCTACTCAACACTGCAGCAGGTGCCGTTGCGGGCGTTGGAAAGTCGGCGCTATTCTTTTTGGAGACAGAAAATTGGCCCAACCTGAAAATCGGCGGAGTCGAGGAAAAGGTCTCATTATCGTTGAACCATGACTTGGCACAATGGGATACCAAGGATCGAATTATTGCAATTATAGTTGGATATTGCTTTGCCTCTGTTCTTGGGATGCTGTACCTAAGGTTTTCCGCTCTGTTTTCCGGACCACGCCAGGAGAATCGGCGGGAAGGAGCTGTAGCTGATGTTTTGCAGCAAGCTGGTGGAGTAATGAAAGTGATCCTCATCATTGGGATCGAAATGATTGTATTCCCCCTCTATTGTGGCATTCTGCTCGACATTGCCCTCCTTCCACTTTTCCGTGGTGCAACATTGTCTTCGCGGACCGCATTCACGCTGGATTCGCCGTTCACATCGCTATTCGTGCATTGGTTCATCGGAACTTGCTACATGTTCCATTTTGCACTTTTTGTGTCCATGTGCCGGAAGATTATGCGAAGTGGTGTATTATGTGAGTATAGAACACATGTCTTGATATTTAGAAATATAAACTTTGGACTAACAAAAGTCTGTATTAGATTTCATCCGTGATCCTGACGACCCGACGTTCCATCCGGTACGCGATGTTCTTGAACGCAATATCACCACTCAATTACGCAAAATCGCCTTCAGCGCTCTTGTGTACGGCGGACTAGTTATTGTTTGCCTTGGCGGCGTTGTCTGGGGCTTATCTCTGAGTTTCCGCGATGTGCTCCCGGTACACTGGTCTTCCAATGAGCCCGTTTTGGAATTTCCTGTCGACCTACTTTTCTACAACTTTGTAATGCCGTTGGCGATCCGTTATATCCGCCCATCAGATGGCTTGCATAAAATGTACAATTGGTGGTTCCACAAGTGCGCGCACAAATTGAGGTTGACGCACTTCCTGTTTGGGAAACGGCGTAAAGATGAGGAAGGGCGACATGCATACCCAACATGGCGTGGCCGGATTTTCGGCCGCCGGGATACCCTGGAGGGTGAAAACCGGCGTAAAATATTTCTACGAGATGGTAGATTTGTGCGAGCTCCAGGGTCCGACCAGGTTCGAATTCCGAAGGGTATCCCTGTTTTCTTAGAAGTTGACGAAAATAATAAGCGCATTGATGGCAAGGAGGATAGCAAAGAGGGGCTTCATGGGAGGTCGAACAAAATGTTCGCCCACGTCTATGTGCCTCCGAGATTCAAAACCCGGATCGCTATATTTATTTTCATGATATGGGTCTTCGCCGCTGTGACTGGGCTTGGATGCACTATAGTCCCCCTCGTCATCGGGCGATGGATGATATCTTCACTCTTCCCCAGCCATATCCGCGTGAACGACATCTACGCCTTTTCTACCGGCATATACGTGGTTGGCGGAGTATTCTACGCGCTAGTTTACTGTCGCCACGGCCTCCCGGCGCTCCGTCAATGTCTGCAACCCTACCTAGCATCCCCGCGACAGGCATTCCCACACGCGTACAACCTACTTGTGAAACTCATCAGCCTCCTGTACATTGGATGGGCATACGCTCTATTCCTCCCTTCCCTTTTCGCCTTGCTTACGGAACTCTATGTTCTGATTCCTCTGCACACCTACATCGGGGGTGGCGACGCCCACGTCATCCACTTCGTCCAAGATTGGACGCTCGGCGTCCTATACGTACGCATGGCTGTCAGATTTATATTGTGGTATCGCGGCTCGCGCCCAGCCAATGCCCTCAACTCCATCCTACGCAACGGCTGGATGAATTCGGACATTAAGCTGGCCACCCGTGCATTTATCGTTCCTGCTACCTTGCTTGGCTGTGTTGCGATTTTGGTACCGTTGCCCGTCGGGGCTATTCTTAATTCCACCATCTTCCGTGATTCGTCAGCCACAGTGCGCTCTGAGGTATACCGCTACTGTTTCCCTGCGACGTTGATGGCGGTTCTTCTCGTATGGGCTGCACACCAAGCCCGTAAGAAAATTGCCATCTGGAGGGTGGGCGTTCGGGATGACGTGTATCTAATTGGAGAGCGCCTTCATAACTTTGGAGAGAAGCGTGCGAAAGATGTTGGTGTAACACGGCGGATGATTACTTCATGATACGACTGCGTTTGCAATTTTCAATTTTTTTTCCCCACCTTTTCAACTAGTTTAAAATTATCTGTAGTATTTTAAAAACAAACAGTTTTACCGTTCTATTCTCTAAGCCATGTATATTAATTTTCCTGCGTTGCATATAATAATTTTATTCGCACTTACTAGACAAAATAAATTCGTTTGCCTTTGTTGATGTTGGATCAAGAAATTGTTCTGCCTGCCCGTTCTACGTACGGATTGCACGTGACCTCAAGGTTCCTCCACGAGGCTCTCAGCCCCACTTTGGCAGGCGGAGACAATCTGCGGCGCTCTCATTGGCCACTTTTAGGCAGCAACTTTGTGGTTGATCGTACTGCATCCCATCGCCGTCTCCCGAGTGAGTCCCCGATGCGCCTGGGATATTGTATAGGGTTCGTCGTATCGATCATCTCAGAGCTGGCTGATACATCGTCGTGCTCTCTGAAGAGGGAATCCCCAAAGTACATTTCCCGCATTTCATACGCCATTAAGAGTGATAAGTTTTTAATCGTGGTCAATTCTCTCAATTAATCTCTAGATAAAAAGCACCACAAACGCAGCCATGTCTGTCCTCAGGCATGGCGGAGCCTTCTTCCAAAGGCGGCTCACAAAGCTGTATACAGACACCAAGTCTTCCTGCGAGAGCGTCTCCAGCGCATCCAAGGCGAACGATGACCCAGAGCTCGTCGCATTGAATCGAAACTTTCGCACACAGAAGGATAGGTTGCTGGCATGGGGCCTGGACTGGAGCGATGCGAGCGCCGCCCAACCAAATGATATCGACGAAGCGCTGAGCGAGGCTGGGTTTTCAGACGTTGTCGCGAGTGTGATGTCGTCCATACAGGAGCTGCTCAATGAGGCTGAGAGGCTCCAGCAGCCGGATAGTGTCAAGTCGCCTGACGGCTTGGTCCAGGTTAGCGCTGTGAAGGCGACGTACACGGCAGAGGAGATTGCACGGTCGAAGGAGTTATTGGAGGAATTGACGCAGCATATCGAGACGCTCTATGATCTCTCGCGATCGCGGAGGAATATGAGCATGAGCATGAGCATGAATTCGAATTCAAATTCACTGTCGATGTCGAAAGGTCAAGCTCAAGCTCAAGGTCAAGGTCAAAGTCGTCCATTGCTGTCGAAATCTTCGAAATCGTCCAAGGAGTCGTTTTTTTCGCTTCAAAATGAAGCCGGTCAGTTGATAGATAGGAAGCCCTTACCGACAAAGAAAAAATCAGCATCGGAACCCCGGCCAGGAGGAGCGGGTTTCACAAAGAGCCATTTTACCGGGCTTCATGCCAATGCGACTAATGAGTTTGCTGAGGACTTCCAGAAGACTTTCGCGGATTCATTCCTCCCAACAAAGCCGTTTTACATCGATAAATCTGCCCTTCATCTGTCGCGTGGCGGAATTTCCCATGCTTCCAATCCGCCCCCTTACGAAGCGGTGGCAGAATCGGCAAATTCCAGAGTCATTGGACATTTAGATACCCATGCGATGCCTCATGCGCTGGCAGCGCTTGTACAGGGTCCAATCGTACCAGTACTAGTTGAATTCTCGCCGATAATGTTGGAGATGCAAAATTCTCTCCAGTTCCCTCGCAGAGAACGACTTCTTCAATTATTCGACACACTCCAACGCCTGGTAGAGAACTCCAGGGTTTCCCACCTTGGGTTGCTGAAGTTCGTTGGCTACTTTATTGATATGACTTATTCCCGCTACGCATTTGTTTATCAGATCCCACTGGAGATGTTCCCATTACTGCGACAACCTTCTGATGTACTGAGAGACGTCAAGCCCCGGCCACTTGTTTCGCTATTCCATTCCGGAGATGGCCGACCGGACTGCCCAATTCCAAATCTCGAGAGTAGGTTTCGCCTGGCATATCACCTAGTTCTGGCAGTTCTTCATCTCAGAAGCCAGAATGTTGTACACGGAAATATAAACAGCAACAATATTTTGGTATTCCCAGATTTCCAAGTAGCCAATCAACGGCTCCTGGGCGACTCGAGTTCCGAGTTCAGCCACCCGTATCTTACGTCTCTCGCTCAGTTCGACAGCGAGGATAAGAATGCAGTTCCTGAGCCGTTATCCGCAAGCATGTACCGCCATCCCGACGACCGTCGGGTTATCACCGATAATTCAGCTTGGGCATATGATCTATACAGCCTAGGCCTTGTATTGCTTGAAATTGGCTTGTGGACCCCAATCAGTAAGCTGTGGAAGATGAAGTATAACAATTCAATGTTCAAATCACGAATCGAAAACGTCTACGTCAAGCGGTTGGCACCCAAATGTGGAAATTCGTATCTGCAAATAGTCCAGCTGTGCCTCGATGCGCCGAATTTCCACCTGTCTACCGAACCGATGACAGATCTAGGACTAAGAATCCGACAAACCTACCATTATCCATGGCATGACCCGAGTACATCAGATGAGTGGAACACTTTCTCTAAAAATTTTGTTTACACAATTGGGAAAGTCAGTTGGCGTTGTGCTTGCCTGGATGTCTTCTCCTCCCCGCCCGCTTCAGATCTGGATGAGTCTCTTCCTCCACCTCTCGTTATTGAGCCAGCCAGTTCGTCGTTCCAAGAAGTAAACCCTTACGACATAGGCCGTCAACCAGATTCAACTACGGCAATTGATCCGGCGGACGATGGGACAACTTACGGTGAATCAAATGGATTACAGGATCAGAGCTGTGCTAGTGAAAAAAAGGTGCGGAAACGGACGCTGAAGAAGTGGTCCAATGTCGAAATACCCGAAGAAGACTTACGTGACTGGAACATGACACTCATGCCGAAACTCAGCAAACTGCTTCAGAAGATCCTGAAGGACTCGCCTGAATCCTGCAGTGCTTCTTTAATGGTGGCTGGAGAAACTGCAGAGACCGCAAAGACTACAATTTGTGTCACCTGCACCAATATCCGGAGGGTTCGAGTCGCTCTCAAGAAGTACTTCGATTATGATCGAGAAAACTGGGATCTCATTGTGATTCGGGGAGATGTTTCACGCTCAAAAGTCCCTCGCAGACGACGTAGAAAGCCGAAAACGAATAACCGTGCTGCCATCGATGCTGCTCAGGTTGACCTGAACCCACACTATCAGCAGAAACCTGTCTGTGGGGCATCAATAGGGGCATTTCGACTTGACGAACATTTACCACCAGTTTCCTATGGGGGAGCGATCCTTGTCGATGGAATGCCTTATGGAATGACGGTGCATCACATGCTTGATGCCCCCTGTGATGATGAGGACGATGACGACCTACCTCCTCGCTCTGCTAGCAATTGGACTCCCGAAGGAGATGCTCATGATCAGGACTTTTCATACTCGTGGCATGATGAAAGGCCACCTGAAGCATTGTATCCATTTGAGATCTCGGATGACGATGAAGATGCAGATGACGGATCAATAGCACCAAGCATTGATGAAGCCTATGATGATTACTGGCTCTCAGACGGGTATTCCACTGATGACGGGGATGATGATGACGATGACGATGACGATTATGATTCTGCCTCGATTGGAGATACAGCTGGAGTTGATCCGGGAGAGGAGCCTCAAATAATCGTAACGCAGCCAGCGATCGATGATGTAGAAGTTGGATTTTTCCCGACCGCGGAGGATCGTGACGACGAGCATCTTGCCTCGCACTCGCTTGGATATGTCCATGCCTCGTCCGGAGTCAGGAGGTGCAAACGCGGTGGGATGAAGCATGAAGTGGATTGGGCGCTGATCAAAATTGACGAGAGTCGGATGGATATTAATAACGCGATACTTACCGATGTTGACGTGTCAGAAGCTCACAGTTCCTCTTCTCACACCAGTAGCCGCCGCGAAGCTCAGCGGCACCAACAAGGCTCCAAAGTGCTCTTTGCCACACTTGACAAAGTCGCCAGGATTGAAGATCTCGCCGGCTTACATGTCCAATGCTGCGGCAGGACAAGTGGCCTGCAAAGCGGCCGCATTTCCAAAGCAATGACCCTGGTAAAGATGCATGGTCGCCAATCCTTCTCCAGCAGTTTCAGCGTCGATGGGAATTTCGGAGGTAATGAATGGCCCTTTCATCCTTCATCCTTCCTTCCACATCTAAATCCAAACCAATTCCTTCCCCACACGAACACGCCCCTTGTGAAACAAATCATGCTAACGCGGCTCATTCACTAGTTCCCGGCGACTCCGGAGCCTGGGTCTTTGACAAATCCACCGGCCAGGTATGCGGCCACGTTCTCGCGTGGTCCGAGAAGAGCCGCACAGCCTACATAGCGCCCATGGAGATTCTCCTCGACGACATCGCGCGCACCCTGGGCGCTACCAGCGTCACCCTCCCCGGCAGCGAAGAGGCACTAGCATGGAGCCGCAGCACCAATCCCACCCGCGCAGGTGCCACAGCACATAGTGATAGTCGCGCCGCGGCGGCGGCGACGGTAGCGCCACAGCCTCCTCATATGAGGAAAGTCTTGAGAATGACCCGCCACGAAATGGAGCAGCTTCCTGTTGAGTTGGGGCGGTTGAGCATTGACCGGGACGAGCAGGGCCGAGGTCGCGGTGGGGTGAAGGGGTTAAGAGATGTTTCTGCCTCGACGTATCGCGCTGTTGCGCCGTTGATTCGGCAATCGTATACGATGGAGAGGCAGTTAGCATGAGTGGGTGGGGTGTGTTGGTCGTTTCTTATACGTTTTTTTCTGTGGTCATTTCATTTTGGTCCTAAATACGTTTTTATTCCACCTCTCTTTTAGAGTACTTTTTGATAATCCCCATTTTGTGATACCCTCCCCCCTTTCCATATTTTTGCCTATTCTTATTTGCTAGCTATCTTCCCCTTCATTATGCATTTTTCTTTTTCCTCTTTCTTTTTTGTATTACTTTCTAATTCGCTAATATTCATACGCATTGTATATAACCTTGTTCAGCCCAGGTTCCTAGGCATGTTTTCCACCATTAAACAAATTAGTGTAATATTATAACATCTTGTTGCTTTCAGTCTTCATATATATATGCATATTCAGCTTAACCGTCTTATGGCCAGGCAACATGCATATCTACTTTTATCTTACCATTCTATTCACGAGAATGAGCAAACATATTTTCCTCTAGCGTTCAAACACCCACCCCACACCGTCTAGATTCTATCCGAGGCCTATCAGATCATGAGATTAGAGGGTCAACCCATCAAAATGAATCAAAGTTCCTAGAAATATAAACATTATCGAATTATGTATGTGTAAATACTGGAAAACCAGAAATCTAGTCCTAGAAAATACAAGAAATAAAGAGTAAAAAGCAGGGAAACATCTAGGGAGGGGGCTGCCCTGCTGATTTTATAGGGAAGCGAAACCAAAGTAAAAGTAAAAGCAGACAAACGAAGATCGAAGGAAAGCAATCAGCGAAGCTATGAAATGAGGTGATGAGAAGCAAACTAAACAATGTAATAAAAGCCAAATTGCAAAAATATCGAAAAAAAAAGAAAGACAAAAAAAGAAAGAAAAAACACAACCACACACTCCCACATCCTATGACTATTACTGAGAAAGAAAAATATAATACGCATATGCTCCGCCAAAGCCGCCCCTCCATCTATCACAACATGCATAAATCAAAACACACCCAAAAAAAGCAGCATGGCTCATTTCACACTCAACCCAACCCAACCATGCTCATTTCACTCTTCCTATGACGACCCCAAGTATTTTAGCACAGCCTCCCTCTCCTCCACAGGAAGCATGCTCAACACCTGCTGCACACCCTTCAGACCACCATCCTTATTACCCATGAGCAACTGTGCAACTTCAATTGCGACACCCTCCGTCTTCATCTCCTCGACTTTCTCCAGAACCTTCTTTTTATTCTCTTCGTACCACAGCGCAACCTTTCGGTCGTTGAAATCGAACTCCCGATCCAACATTCCAGTCCACGACTTCAGCGTGTTGAGATTGATTTCGCGGGTTGTTGGTGGAGCGGGTCTAGGGGAAGATGAGGGGCTGGTGGTTGGGATAGCGCCATTGCGCATGCCGGTGGGGGGGGCGGTTGCCGCCATGCGCTTTAGGACGAGCTCCTCGCTGAGACGGCGGCGGAGACGCCAGTAGAAGAATCTTCTCGCGTTCTTCCACTGGAGAGCTTGACGGATGGTTCCCTTTGCCTCCATACGGCCGGCGCGGTCGTGAAGATCGGCAAATTGCAGAGCAATCTGCATATAGACTGGGAGAAGTTGTTCTTCTCTTTCGGTCATCTTGGCTTTGATCTTGGACAGTTGGTCTGCAGGCAGGGATTTGTCGCTGAGGGCCTTTCTGAGCTCGCTATATTCCGGGTCCAAACGGGCCATGGTATCCAGCTGTTTGTCTTTGCGGTATTTGATGTTGACAATACCCTCAGGTTCAAGAACACCACCGCGAGATTCCTCATCAGCGTACATCTCCATCTGTTCTGGGTTGATAGTAGGATCGATCACAACCTGTGGCAAAATATTAGCACGAGATGAAAGAAAACATCAACAAAGCAACCCGGGAAATTAAACTTACCCATGAGCCACCGCGTAGTTCTCCGAGTGGCGGGATGTAAACGAAAATAGGTTGCTCGTATTTGACAAGAGCATCGACGATGTAAGAACCATACTTAAGAACCTCATTGTACATGTCGCGTTGGCCGCCAGAGAAACCTCGCCAGTTGGCAAGGATCATGACCGGCAGTTGTTCGCCAAAGTTGAAATCCTTGAGAGCTTGGGCGGTTTTGAAAGCAGAATTTGGATACCAAACTCCACCTGCCTCTGTGGAAATCAGCTCCATCGAGTCCGGATTCGCAGGATCAGCGGGCGTGACAGTGTCGACGGAGCGGGTCTCGACTGCGATGACACCCATGGGGATACCACCGAGCCTAGCGCGTCCAACAACCACAGTCCTGGCCCACCCCCCGAGTGCTTCCTGAAAGGAATCTTTGTCGAACATGCCAGGTAGGAAACCCTCATCATCATGCTTACCAGCGATAAGCCATCTCACGTCATAAGTTTGCTTAGCGGGAGGATAATAACCGATATCTCGATCCCATGTGTCCGAATATGGTCGGATAGGGACGGGCGAATTCTTCTTGTCAGGGATGAACGACATCCATTGGACAATCTTCTGTACGCCTTCAAAGTCATCATTGGCCGTCATATGGGAAACACCGTTCTTGTACATGATCTGTGTTCCACCCAGCTGCAAGTTAGATGTATAGACTTCTCGTCCTAGTAGCTTGTTAATGGCAGGAGCTCCAGTCAGGATAATTGGCTGTCCTTCAACTTGAATCGCTCTTTGGCCTAGGCGAACGAGGTAAGCACCAATTCCAACGGAGCGACAGGTCACAAGCGTGATAGTGAAGATGTCCTCGTAAGCCTTGGACGTCGCGCCTGCAATAAGGCCGGAACCTCTCAGACACTCGACACCCAGGCCATCTTCTGCGCCGATGATAGTGGTGATCATATGTCTTTCCTCACCGTCTTCCGTGACCAGCTCCGTTATGACATCCTTAGTCTTCCTCTCGTCAAATCGCTTCTTGACCTCTGGAGTAAGATAAAGATATTTGAAGCCAGCGTCCGGCCGCTTGGGATCATTCCATGCAACCGAGAAATGACGCATCAGTTCCTCTGCCATTCCGATGCGAGCACCGGAGTTAGCAGAAAGATAGATCCGTGGAATTCCTAGCTTCCTCGCAAGTTCCGTGCACTTGTGGAAGAATTTGTCTTCTTGAGGCCCGAACGATCCAATTTGGAAGGTGATATCGTTGGCGATAATGATGAAGCGCCTACCTCGTGGGTACTCGGGTGTTCTGGCAGTGATCATCCAACCAACCATTCCATGCGTGTTTGTTCCCGGCTCGCGAACCACTTCGATCAAGTTATCAGTATCGTCAAGCACGAGCTCAGCGTAATCAATGCAGTCGCCTACAGCCGGTCGTTTGTCGGCAAGCGATGAGTGCTCCCCAACGGCCTTGACCCAGCAATTCTGGAAAGCTTGTCTGAAAAGCTCGGGGAAGTCGTATACATATTGGGTTCCCATCAAATGGGCCTTGTACCGCTTTGGTTGCAGCCATTCTTTTGTAGGATAAGGCGTGGATACCGGACGAAGATGCATGGACCCGATCTTAGTGGTGCCACCGATACTATGGAATATCCATTCTCCCTTCTCGGATTTCCGCTCAGCATACATTTCAACCTGGATGATATATCCGGAAGTGTTGTTGATGACAACACGGAGGGGATAGGCCATGCCAGTCGTGGGTTCCGTACAGAGGATACGAATTTCAGCCCCGGTCACGCGAAGGCGCCAGAGTCGTCGACCGAAGCGTTCCAGGAAGCCTGCCAGTGCTCTTTCAACATCAGCGGGTTCAAGCGGGAAAACGGGCGTGAAGTTGATAAAAATATGGTTCAAGTCGGAGTTATTGTTGCCAATAATTTCAAGCGCGTCAAGGATATCATTCATCAAGTTATCGGCCTCAGAGATGAGATACTCCGCCGTGGGTATATCATCCCGCAGACGCCCAGGTCGAACAACAGCACGTGTGAAATATCGTTTATCAACGGCCTTGTCGCTCTCTGGCCCTTTCCCAATCGCTTCGTAAACGTGGATATTTCGGTTTTCTGTAAAGACGGGCTTGATTTTGAACTTGGAGAGTCTTCCCAATTCAAGCTGGAATGCAAGGGCGGGTTCACTATGGCGAATACTCTCGTCTTCGTCGTAAGAAGGCCCTCTAAACGTGAAGTAACCGGGGTAAGTTCCATCCTTGTGTCCACAAATAAAGGTAAGTCTTCTCACTCGGCGAGCGAGTAACTCTTCCTTAAGTTCGGAGACAAGTTTAGTAATGCGCGCGACCATCTCCGTATCATCCAGGTCCTCGATATCGCGTATAGCAACGTTGCAGACTCCAGTAAGCTCATCGACAGTTTCAGGGCGAGGTGGTTTGCGTAATGCTGCCAAATTGGAACCGAGAGAGTTTCCGTTGTTTTTCTGTGGCTCTGAGCGAGGGAAGACCTCCAGCGCCCTGGAGAGCATTTCTTCGGCATCATCAAGATAATTGACTGGAATAATGACACCTTTCCTCATTGGTTCATTGACCCCCTTGTTGACCAAGTACGACATATCGCTAATGGAGCTAATTTTCTTGAATGGATTGCTTTCCGTGGTGGGAGTGGTTGGGGTGGATGGGTGGGTTGAAGCGGCTGCCATTCCAAACTCAGAGTGGCCAGTCTTCCCGAGGATGAAATCCCACGAAATAAAGAATGGACTCTCCTGTTGGTTGTGGTATTCGATTCCCTTCAGTGAGTATGCCCGATAAGCTCTGCGGACATACACCTCGAGCGCCGCCAGCGATACCCATTGATCCTGATGTCCAAAGAAAAGAGGAAGCACGTCGAAGACGGTGTACTTGGAGTCAACCACTTCCTTCAAGACGCTTAGGTCAGGTTCTCTATGGTCCCACCCTGTCTCTCCGTATTTGGATTCCACAACTGAGGAGCGTAAAATATGCTCCATCTGAGCAACTCTCTCTTCAAGAGACGGCAATGCGCACTGGATAAGAACCTCGCGAGCTTTCAATGCCACTTTGGAAGTAGCTCGAGATTCCAGTTCTGCTAGTTTTTTCAGAATGGGTTTTAAATACTTCCCGACGTTGCCGGCGTTTGGTTTATTTGGACGATACATATCTAAAATCGCGAGCAGCAAGTTGTTCTTGGCTCCGACTTTGCTGTGAGATAAGACGGTTTGGATGACGCCGTCGATGTCATCTTTGTTCTCTTCTCTTAGTTTAAGGATCACATCCTCGTCTCGCATATTTCGTCCTGTGAAAAGGTGCTCCACTTCCCAATACTGTTGAAGAATTCCTATGAAGACTTTGTATTCGTGAACTTTCAGACCCTCACTATATCGTCGGATGACATCCACGAGGGGTAGGAGGCTTGTCTGCAGAATGTCGGCATCGGCAGGGCTCACATTGTCATCAATGAAGCGGGTAAGTGTCTTCATCAATTGGTTGGCTGGGAACTCCGCCTTTCGTGACTTGGCTCTATCAACGACCTGCGTGAGGAGGGAGTCAAGCTTCTG